CTGATGATTGCACACTGTTTAGCACCATTCATGACATCTCAGATATTAAGCAGTCCATGTCCATATGCAGCAAGACCTGAGCAATATCCAGGCTTGGGCTGAAAAGTGGCAAATAATATTCATGCCACACAAGTGCTAGGCAATGATCATCTCCAACAAGAAAGAACTGAACCATCATCCCTTTATGTTCATCATTGAATTCCCACTATCAACATCGTTGGATTACTACTGACCAGTAACTGAACTGGGCCATCCACACACTCTAGCTACAACAGCTGTTCAAAGAATAGGAATTATGCATTGGGTAAGTCAGCTCCTGTCTCCCCAATGTCTATCCACCAACTACAAGGCAGAATCTACTTTTTTGAATGGGTGCAGCATCCAGAGCACTCTCAAAGCTGGGGACAAAGCTGCACGTTTGATTGGCATTCCATTTACCACATTCAATATTTACTCCCCTGATCACTGGCACACAGTGGCAAGAGTATGTTCTATTTACAACATGCACTGCAGTAACACACTAAAGCATCCTCAATAGCACCTTGCAGATTAGCAACGTCTACGGCCGAGGAAGACAACAGCAGCTGATGCATGGGAACACTACTAGCTGCAAGTTTCCCTCCAAATCACATATCATCTGGACTTGGAAATATAATTACTTCACTGTTAGTGGCTCAAAATCTAGGGAACTCTCTTTCAAACAGCACTGGGGGTATACCTACACCACAAGAACTGCAGTGGTTCAAAAAAAATTCACCATCTTCCCCAGCGCAATTAGGAATAGATAATAAATGCTGACCCAGCCACTGAAGCCAACATCCCATGAATGAATAAAGAGATGACAATATTCTATTTGGTTTTCATAATATTTTGCGTACGATTCCTTGAACCCTTTGTACTGCAAAGTTCGGCAATCTCACTTCACTTAGATAGTATACTGCTTTTCTATTCCTGCTCTCAAAATGGAGATGTTCACATTTACCCACATTATACTCTGTGCCAAATTCACTCACTCGAACTATCTGTATCCTTTTATATAAGGCTCCGAGCGGTCTGACAGTGTAGATGTTTTCAGTGATGGGGGTGTTTCAAACTAGGGGACATTTAAAACTTGACGTGCGAGGAATTTTCTTCTCACAGAGGGTAGTGAATTTCTACAGTTCTCTATTGAAAAGAGTTCAGGAGGTTAGATCGCTGAAAGTATTTAAAGAGGGGGTAGACAGACTTTTGAAATATCAGGGAATTGACAGCTATGCTGAACTAGCATGAGAGGGAAGTTGAGCCTAGAGTAAATTGTCCATGATCTTGTTGAATGGTGGGGTAAGCATGAAGAGCCAAAAAGCCTACACCTGTTCTTTGCTTGTATGTTCTTTGCAGTCCCTCTACCTCCTCTTGACCAGATTTCTTTCCCACCCATCTTGATGTCATTGGCAAATGTAGCTGTCATGCAAGCAGTCCCCTCATCCAAATTAATGGTGTTACTTGTAAATAGTCAAGAACCCTGCATGATCCCAGCAGCACATCACTATGTACAGCTTGCCAACCCAAAAAAGACCCATTTATCATTAAATTTTGCTTTCTGTTAGCTAACCAATCCTTTATCTATACTAAAATGACCCCCTACAACCTGCATTCTCATCTTGAGAAGCTACCTTTGGTTTGGCAGTATATCAAGTGCCTTTTGGAAATCTAAGAATGCAATTATGTTACATTAACCAGTTCCTTTCTATCATAGAAACAGAAACATAGAAAAGGAGCAGGAGTAGACTATTCAGCCTGCTATACCATTCAATATGATCATGGCTGATTATCCAACTGAGTACCTGTACCTGCTTTCTCCAACTACTTTCTGATCCCTTTTGCCCCAAGGACCATATCCATCTCCTTCTTAGAGGGGAATACTGGAATAGGTGTAAGCCATTCAGCCTTCAAGACTATTCCACCATTCAGTAAGATAATGGCAGATCTGTAGCCTAAATCCATATTTCTGCCTTTGGCCCTTATCCTTTAATACCTTGGCTTATCAAAAAAACTCTCAGATTTAAACTTAACAACTGCTCCTGCTTTCACTGCTTTTTATGAAACAGAGTTGCAAACATCTACCACCCTTTGTGCATAGAATTGCTTCTGAAAGAGGTAAAGTCACCATAGTCTTATCAGAACACAGGGCTGCTCTCTCTTTAGGTAGAGCTGATTGATGGTGGTTTAACTTGAAGGTCACCTCAGGCAAGGGGAGAGGTAGAAAAAGAAAGTTCTTCATGGTAAACTCAGCTGGTGTGGGAATCGAATCCATGCTGTTGGTGTCAGTCTGCATTGTAAACCAGCCATCCAGCCAACTGAGCTAACCAAATCACAGTATCCACAGTGAATACTACTTTGTTGAAAAACTGTAATTGATCAGTTAAAAATGATTTCCCATTCACATTTTTGTTTTCCATTATCAGTTTCACTGTCCTAACTCTCTAGTAGACCAAGACTGTAATTACTCTTTTCCTGTTTAAATAATTGTTGAAACTCTTAGTACCTGTTTTTATATTACTAGCTAGCTTTCTCACTTGATGTACTTTTCCCTTCACCTTTCTGTTCTAAAATTGTGGTGAGCAGAAACGAGCATATCAGCATTTAACAAAGTAGTTTCTAACCTTGTGTTAAATTCTGTGGATCATTAAATCTTCATTCACAAATATGAATGTATATCTTGCATTGTACACAACATTCTTATTAATGGGACAGAATTTTAGATGTTTCAGAATAAGAAATGCATTAAAAAGGATGGACTCATTCCTATGAGTATCCATTTTACTGTCAGTTGAAGTCATGTGGGCTATGGTCCTCTAATTCTTCCTGCTGCAGCACAGATCTCTGAAGTCTCGCTCTGTGGGAGGAGTGACGATGATTTTCCTCTGCAATCAAAAACATGCATTATTATAGCAGCCTTAAAAAGTAAAATGTACTCATGTATTTCACAGAAGCAGTATCAGTGCAAGATGCCATTAAACCATATGAGAATATATTAGGAAAAATGACCAAAAGCTTGGTCAAAGAGGTGGTTTAAAGAACATCCGAAAAGAAGAGAAAAAAAAACAGACACAGGGGTTTAGGGCCTGAATTAAGCTGCTGAATGTGTGGCAATTGAAGAATTTATAGAAATCAATGATTGCCGAAAGACTAGATGTAGTGTCTTTGGATTTACAAAAGTTGCTTGATAAAACTGCTACATAAAAGATGACAACAGAAAACAACAGCTTGTAGCGTTTTGGGTAATGTATTAGGTTGACTAGCCAACCAGACGACAGGTCAACCAATACAGAATTAGGATAAATGAGTCTTTTTCACATTGGCAAGCTGGAAGTAGTGGTGTGCCGTAGGGATCATTTCTGACGCCTTAACTATTTGCAATCTATATTAATGACTTGGATGGAAGCACTGACTGTTTTATAAGCAATTTTGCCGATTATACAAATATGTGTTGAAGAGCAAATTGACAGTAGGATACATAGGAATATAGAAAAGGAATATAGATAGGTTAAGTGGGGAATAATTTAGCACATGTGGGACAATGTTAGGTTGACCACTTTGGAATAAAGACTTGAAAAGGAGTTTATTACTTAAGTGGAAAGAGATTAGGAATTGTACAGTATGACAGGATCTTTGTGTCCTTGTATGTGGTACAGAAAATGCATGCGACTAAGCAGTCAACTTGGAAGACAAACAGAATGTTAGCCTTTATTACAAGAGGGAATGGAGCATAAAAGCAAGACCACAAATGGAGAACTTGTTTGCGTTCAGTCCTAATATATTCTCATATGGTTTAATGGCATCTTGCACTTATTTAAGGAGGAACACACAGATTAAAAACAGGATAAAGAAGGCTCGCTAGGCTGAATTCTGAGATGACGGGTTTGTCATATGGGGAAAGGTTGGGCCTGTGCTCATTTCAGTTTAGAAGGATAAGAATTTTTTTTATTTGCTCACGGGATTTGGATGTCATTTACTGGGCCCTTGAACTGAATGGCTTGCGAGGCCATTTCAAAGTTAGGAGTCAACTACATTGCTGTGGGTCTGGAGTCACATGTTGTCACAGACCAGATAAAGATGGCAGATTTCCCAACCTAAAAGACATTAGTGAACAAGATGGGCTTTTCCAATAAGCGACAGTAGTTACATGGTCGCCACTAGGCTGGTTTTTAATTCCAGATTTTTACTGAATTCAAATTGCAGTGTCTGCCATGGTGTAATTCAAACCCATGTCCCCAGAGCATTAGATTGAAACACTGGCTACTAGTTCAGTGAAATTGCTACTACACCACCACCTCTCCTTCAACTGTCTTATTGAAACATATCCAATTTTGAGTGGCTTGACAGGATGGATGCTTTGAGGATGTTTCCTCTTGTGGGAGAATCTAGAGCCTAGAGGACACTGTATAGAAATAGGATAGATCGGAGGATAAATTTTGTCCTGCAGGAGATTATTAATCTTTTAATGTCTCTATCCCAGGGAGTAGTGGAGGCTAGGTCATTAAACATATTCAAAGCTGAATTAGAACAATTTGTCTGAGGAAGGGTCACCGGACCTGAAACGTTAACTCTGATTTTTCTACACAGATACTGCCAGGCCTGCTGAGCATTTTTGCACAAATTCTGTTCTTGTTCCTTTGAAAAATGTGTGATTAACAAGGGTGTCACACATTATGGAGACAGTCAGGAAAGTGGATTTAAGGCTACAGTCAGATCAATGATCTCATTGAATGGGAGAGCAATTTGAATATTCTTTTCCTGCCCTTACTCCTCATGTAAATTGTGGGCGTCAGCAAATGGGGCCATCACAGGCTGATCCTTAACCTGACCTCACCGTCAATACAAGCAAGTACTTTGCTGTAGGTTAGGAGGATCAAGGACTATTGTCTATGGATAAAGACTCAAAAACCTAATACTGCATTTTTCAACAGTTTAATTACACTTGTATTACAGGCTTTCCTCAACTTATTTGCTTTTCTCAGGGATGATTTAGACAGGAAATTGCAGGCACAATACATTTCTAACTTATTGAAGGAAATCCCACAGCCTCTTGTATTTCTGGGATACATTACTTCTGCACCGGGCTCCAGAGACTACATACAGATTAGGAAATTTGGAAATGTAAAGGTAAGAGCACATTTATAAAAGTGAACTGAGTGTAAAAGTGTAATATTATTTTTAATATTATGTTCTTTTGTTTTAATTTTAATTGTTAAGTTGTAGTCTCCAATTTCTACAGGCATTATTGGCATGGTTTTATTATCCATCCCTAATTATTCTTGAGAATGTTGGATTAAAATGAGTTCAAAATTAGAAAACTGTCTGCAAAGCACTGCCATAGTCATAGAGTCTTATAAGCATAGAAACAGGCCCTTCGCTACTCTATGTCTCTGCCGACCAACAAATACCAAAACTACATTAATCACATTTTCCTGTACTTGGTCCATTGCCTACTATGCCCTGGCATTTTACATACTCATTGATTTGCTTCTTAAGTATTGCAACAGTAACCACCCTGTCAAGCAGCATGTTCCATATATCTACCACCGTGTGAGAAAAAAATCTTTCCTCAGATCTCCTCCGAACCACCTACTCCTCACCTTAAATGTATGCCCTCTGATCTTAGCCATATCTTTCATGGGGAAGAGATTCTCACGATCCTTTGCTTATCGTTGCACGTATATAATCTGGCAAGGTCAAATTGTGTTGTTAGTGTGGACTACATCAGAGATTATATGCATTGAATGCTGAAAAGCTCAGGTCACTTTGCTGATTTTATATGAATGCATTATTTCATAATTTTGATGGTAATGGTAGGTAAACAAAAGGGAAGTGTATTGTTTCAAACAACTTGAAGTCTAAATTCTATTTGAAATGGCCTAGAAGCATTTGCATTGACTACATATCCTAAAAATATTATAAAGACGTTGCTACATTAAACACTTCTGCAAAAACGTTTTTCTTGACTTTTTTGTTTCTCTTTTAGGATATAGATCAGAGTGATCCACATAGATGGTGTGAGTACATCATGTACCGTGGATTAATAAGGTCAGTTGCAATACTTTAGCCTGATTGTTGTGACCAGTTCTCCCTAAGAATTAGGAAAAAGTGCTTTGCTCATGAATCTGTAGTTATCGAATTGGTTTTAACAAATATTTTCACAATAGTCTCCCCAGACAAGTGAGTATCTGTTGCATATGTGTCAATCTTGCAATCTCTTTACAGCTACATTTCTATCGAGAAAGAAGATTTGCAATGACTAGGAATGAAACGGCAAAACATAAAACTCTTCAAAACCACACCCAAAATACTCTGTGCAAATAAGTAAATGCTTACACACTTGTAAAATAAATTCAGAATTTAAGATAGTAATGGTTTGTATGTTACTGGTGATCTGGGATTCTATGACGAGGAAATCAATGTTTGCTGAACTTACAGACCTACCCCGTAATTCCAGAATTATGATATTTTGTTCCAGCACGATTTCTTTTTTCACGAAGTGTGCTTGTGATTTTACAAAGGAAGGAAAGAATTGTAAAATCAGCACACTGTTTACATTTATTCTTATTGAGTCAATACGCGAGAGATTCCTGCTTTGCTACCAGGACACAAATGCTACAAGATACTAGTCTCCCCACTTGCCTGAATGACACAGCTTCAGCAACACTTAATAAACTTGACACTATCCAGGACAAAACAGCCCACTTGATTGATAAATACACAAAAATTCACTCCCTGCTGCTCAGCAGCAGTGTGTGTACTTTCTACAAGATACTCTGAAATTCTCTGGGGATCTTCAGCTAGCACCTTTAAAATCCACTACCTTCTAGGACAATGGCAGCAGATACATAGCAATACTACCCCTTGCAAGTTCCCCTCCAAGCCGCTCAACATCCCCACTTTGAAATGTATCACTGTTCCTTCAGTGTCGTTGGATGAATTTCATCCCTAACAACATTGTGGGTCTACATATGCGCCCATGAATTGCAACTAAATATGGGCTGGCCAGCAACACCCACATCTTAATGAATAAGAACAAACTTCCAAATCGAAGTTGAGTCCTGCTCAGAGGGTCCTAGACATCAGGTAATTCCCCTTGGGGGAAGTTTCAATTTCCTGGGCAATTACAAGGTAGCCAGTACTTCTCAGAGGTCCTAATGTGCAGCTGTCAGGTATGTCCAGTTTCTGACTGTCTGCAGATCAGAAAATCTGGGCCAATGTACTATTGGGAGGGAAGGGAAACAGATCTTCTGGAGCTTGCTTCTACTCTTCTAATAGGACCCTTCCTCTTCCTCTCTCCTAGAAGAAGGCCAAGTGTATCTTTTCCTCTGTCACTTGTACTTCATCTTAAATGTACAATTTCTGTCCAGTCTGTATTCGTGGGGAGTGTCTACAATTGTTTCTGCAGCTGTGATTTTGAGATGCAGGGTGACATCCTTGAAATACTTGTTGAAACCAATAAAAACAGAAAATACAAAATGAAGTCACTGCAAAGTGAAAGAAGGTTAAGAACCTTGCAACCAAAATATTGACCTATCATTCCTCATTTTTTGAAGCTTGATCATCTTTTCTTGCAAGAATTTTTTTATTTTAAAAAGTCTAGGTGTAAGTGTAGTTCTGTTTCACCAAGAATCACTGAATGTTGTTTAACAATTTCCATGCTCAAATGACTCTATACCAACATGGCTGTAATGACTGACAACAAAAACATGAGATGGAGGTTGCTCCAATACTGCATACAGACACAATTACTGAAATCTCTATTTAACTCCATTCCACTGCTGCTGACAGCTTCCCTCAAGGTTCCACTGCCTTGTGCCCCAGATTTGGAAAACTGCTACTTTTAATCTGGTTACTTTTGAACATACGACTTTCAGAGGCTGGTTAACATAGAAACATTTGGCCCTTCAGGTATGCGCCATCGTTTATGATGATCATGGATGATTACCTAACTTCCCACTTTCCCCTCCCATATCCTTTGATCTTTTTCACCCCAAATGCTATATCCAACTCCTTAAATCATGATGTGGGAGTGCCGGTGTTAGACTGGAGAGGACAAAGTCAGAAGCTATACAACACCAGGTTTATTTGAAATAGTCAGGTGACGAAGGAGCAGCAGGTCGAAAGATTTCAAACAAACCTGTTGGACTATAACCTGGTGTCATGTGACTTCTGTTCTTGAAATTGTACTGTGATTTTGACTTTGACTGCTTTCTGTGGTAGTGAATTCCACAGGCTGAACAGTCTGGATGAAGAAATTCCTCCTTAATTCAGTCCTCAATGGTATGCCCAGTATCCTTAAACTGTAACCCCTAGTTCTGGATTTTCCTGCCATAAGGAACATACTTCCTACATGTACCCTGTCTAGTCCCGTTAGGACTTTAAGTTTCTATGAGACTGTTCCCCCGCCGATTCTTCTGAACTCCAGCAATTATAATCCTAAAGAATACAACTTCTCCTGTTACATAAGTCTCACCATCCCAGGAATCAGTCTGGTAAACTTGCACTGCACTCCCTGGAGAGTAAAAACATCCTTCCTCAGATAAAGAGACCAATACTCACACAGTATTCCAGGTCTGGCCTCAAAAGCCACAAGACATCCCTGTTCTTGTACTTGAACCTGCTTGCTATGAGGGCCAACTTATCATTTGCCTTCTTTACCACCTGTTGCACCTGCATGCTTACCTTCAGCGACAGGTGCATGAGGACACCCAGGTCTCACTGCACATTCCCCTCTCTCAATTTATAGCCATTCACCTTCCTGTTTTGGCCCCAAAAGTGGATAATTTCAAAATTTATTTACATTATACTGCATCTTCCATGTCTTTGCCCACTCAAACTACTTGAGCAGATCACCATGAAGCATCTCTGCATCGTCCTCACAGCTCACCCTCCCACCCAGTTGTGTCATTTGCAAACTTGGAGACATTACGTTTAATTACCTCTGTCATTAATATATACTGTGAATAGCTGGGGTCCTAGTTTTGATCCCTGTGGTACCCCAGTAGTCACTGCTTGCCCTCTGGAAAAAGACCCATTTATTCCTACTTTTTGTTTCCGATCTACCAAATCAGTTTTCTATTCATCTCAATGCACTACCCCTAATCCCTTTCCCTTTAATTTTACTCACTAATCTCTTACGCAGGACTTCTTCGAAAGCTTACTCGAATTCCAAATAAACCACATTCACTGGTTCCTCCACATCAACGCTTCTGAAGATCAGGCAGCTTGTTTTGCTGTCTAAACTGGCATGTCGATCATAAACAACAACTGAGTCACAACTGAGTTGGGCTAGTCATATTGACAGAATGCTTACCATTCAGTTATCAAAATGATTCTTCTATAAGCAGCTCAGGTCTGGGCTGTGCAATTATGGCAATCACATGAAGTGTTGCAATGGCACTCTGAAGAATTCAATTAGGAGAAGCTCAGCCAGGATTGCAACATCTGGCAAATAAAATGGTGCAGCCTCCTTAAAAATGAGCACATATCAGAGGAGAGAGAAAGCACAAGAAGAAATCAAGAGCCAGCAACTTGTCCAAAATGTAGTCAGTCTGTTTTAGAAGAGGGATTTAGCAGTTTGTACCCCTCACTTGGCATCTCTAATTCATTGTGGGTATCTTAGCAAGCTGATTATATGCTAGAATCTGGAAATGCATGCAAACCTGTGAGAGGACTCAACAGCAAATTATGTGTATTATTGTAGAATTGTACAGTACAGAAGGAGGCCATTCAACCCATTGTGTCTGTACCAAGCTCAGTCAGACTGTGCCAGGACCTCCTGAGTGAAGTCTATTCCTCTTGACTTGACCGAGGTTGCTGACAAGTAAGATAAATTTCGTTCCTTTGTGCTAGTTCTAAATATCAAGGCAAGACATAAGAAATATTAGCCTCATATCTCTGGCTGAAGAGTTAGAGTGGAAAAAGGCAAAGCAAGGCAATGCACGGCAGAGATGCTGTGAGCATCCAGGTAAGCAGAGTCAGTATGTTCCATTATAAAGAGCCCGGAAATACAGCCTGGTCCAGCACACTAGCTGAGCGTATGTCCCTGAACGCACACTCATTGCCAGTGCTGCCCGATGTCTTGTAAGTGGTTTGCAGAGAGTCATGAGGGTTCTTAGAGGCTGGCACATTTCCAGTGCCAGTGCCCATGGACATGAGATGCAAATGACTAGTAATCATGGAGTGTGCCCTGAAATGTGTCCAACATAGTGGTCCTTTGGAGCAGTTGGTAAGCTGAATTCACTAGATACCCGCTCTGAGTTCCTTGTCAAGTTTTCTCTACGCCTAGCTTGTTTTGCGAGATAGAAAGCTGAATATTAATATGATATGTTGGATCGTCAACGAAGTGTTTTAAGAAGAAATAATCCTCTTTAATGCTGCCTGATAAGGAACTCACTACACTGCTTGTGAAAAGCATAAAATATGCAGCAAGACGTCATGATTGACAAGCCAATGAAATTTCGCAAGCCCATGTCACTTGGAACATAAGATTACACACTTTATTACACACATAGTTGGAGACTAACAAGAAAGTAGAACTGACTCGCTGTTCCAGAGACAGACGTTTATATAATCAGTGAGTGGAGCCATTTCAAAGCTGGAGTTAATCCTTTCAGACCAACTTTGCTATACAATATATAGTACTTTCAATACAATATTCATGTACCTTTTGACATTACAGCCAGATGTGACAGTTAAAACTCTCAAGCTTTCAAAATGTGTAATGAATTTGCTTCAGGTGGCGTTCCCTCCAAATTTTGGCACTAAAAGTTTGGATCCCAAAATGTAAGTACGTTAGTGACTTTGTTAACCTTTTAAAAGATGGTAATATAATTATTTATTTACATATTATGATCAAATACAGGATTCCTTGTTTATTTTAAAATATTATTCTGGTAATTCTTCATTGTTTGAATGATTACCTATGAACTTGTGAAAAGCTTAAATGAATAATTTCCCAAGTGATTTAATTGGGCTCCAGTGATTAAGGATCCATAATTTGTATTGCTATCCGTGTTAGTGCTTTAGTTAAGAGTCAAGAGATTTTCTTCCCATAATTTGAGGCGATTTGTACCACTGATTTTACTATTCAGACAAATACAGTTAAAACAATTAACACTGGGGATGATCTTCCTTTTTCTTAAGAAAAAATCTGCACTAGACTTGCCTGCCGTGATGCCTGCTGTACTAACGCACAAGTATTCTTAGTTTACCAACTAATAAATATTTATTTTTCCTCTAGGTTGGGCTATGCCCGTATTTCTCATGGTGGTCTGAGTGATACAGAAGTTCAGTTGGCAAAGTTTCGGATTCCTGATGACAAAAATCATTATGAAGATAATGGTAGAATCGAAACCGATCCTAAAAATGTGCCTGAAGAAATTCATTTTAACCCCAGGTTAGTAGCAGGTAACATTACGTTGTGGACAGCATGTTGTGAGAGACTGGCAGAGAAAGAGAAAGAGAAGGATATGACTTATGAGCAGGAGTGGGTCATTTGGCCCTTTGAGCCTGCTCTCCCATTCAGTAAGATCATGCTGATCTGATTTTGACGTCAACTCCAATCTCCCGCCTGCGTTTCATAATTCTTGTTGATCAAGAATTTATCCAGTTTAGCCTTGAGTATATTCAATGATGCAGCCTCCACTGCATTCACGGGAAGATAATTCACAGACTCACAAGAGAAATCTCCTCATCACCATCTTAAAAGTGAGAGCTTTTGTTCTTCAATGTGTCCCTGAGTTCTTCTTTCTCCTTCAAGGGGTACATCCATTCAGATCCACCTCAGGATCTCATATGTTTCACAAAGATGACGTCTAATTCTTCTAAACACCAATGGGTAAAGGCTCAACCTGTTCAATCGTTCTTCGTAAGAATAAACTATCATCGTAAAAATGAGCAAGTGAACCTTGCCAACTGTTTTCTAATGCAATTATCTTTTTCCAACTAAGGACACCAAAACTGCTTACAATGTTTCCAGATGTGGTCTCACCAACACCCTGCACAGCTGAAATAAAATGTCCATACTCTCATATAATAAGTACCACTACTCTAGTTATTTTCCTCCTCGCTTGTTGTACCTGCAAACTAACCTTGTTGTGATTCACACACTAGGACAATGCACATGCCTTTGAACCACTGAGTTCTGCAGTCACTCTACATTTAAATACTATATAGCTTTTCTATTTTTCTTGTTATGGACCAGACCAAAGCAGACCCCCTCAAAAATATTTTAAGAAGGTAGCCTAGACCATAACTTTTTCTTATTTTAAAGGCAAATGTAAAGTGTCGCAAATGCAATGCGACTGGTCAAACTACTTGATGTTAAGCCAAACAGAATTTGTTTTAACACTGTAGTTAAAATACAAAGAAAGAGGAATTTCAAATAACAACTCTATTGGAAACTTAACAGATTAGATACAGTAACTGTTACTGATGAACTGTTCCAATAATAGTAATTTACATAGACACACCCCTTGGCAAAAATAAGGAGTAATTCAGACCTGGATTCGCACATGCAGTTCTCCAATCCGGGGGGAAAACATCAAAACAAAATTCAGAGAGAGTAGCAGCCATGAGACATTCACTGAAGCTTCCAACGCTTTTGAGACCCCAGTAGCTTCTGCTTAAGGCTAACCTTAAAAACTAAAAAAAGCCTGGTCTGTCAGAGCTGGCCACACCCTGGTTGCTTCCATTGTTCCGACTTTAAACAAATTGTGATGTGTTGTTTTTCTTTACTTTCTTAAAGACAGATTGGCACATCTGCCTTACAACTTCTTTTCAACAAAACACCAGGACAAAATAATCTCTTGAAAGGCACAGCATCGTTATATTCTGAACAAGTTCACTTTTTCCCACATTGTGTTCCATCTTCAATTGTTTTGCTTACTCACCTACCTGGGAATATGCCTTCACAGATTTTTTACATTCCTTTGACAAGTTACTCTCTTATCTATTTTGGTGTCATTAGCAAATCTAGCTACCATACATTCAATCCCCCCATTCAAATCATTGATAAAGATTATTATAGTTTTAGGTCCCAGCTCAGATTCTTGTGGCTGTTCACCAGTTACAGCTTGCCAATCAGAAAAAGATCATTTTTGCCTACTCTTTGTATCCTGCTAGCCAATTAATCCTTTAGCCATGCTAATATGCTACATTTTTCACCCCCGAGCTCCTATTTTGTAATCTTTGATGTGGCACCTCAAACAGCTAAGTACACCATATCCACAGACAACACACAGTGTGGAACCGTAGGAACATGACAGGTCAGGCAGCATCAGAGGAGTAGGAAAGTCGACGTTTCAGGTCGAGACCCTTCTTCTGGCCCAAAACATCGACTTTCTGATTCCTCTGATGCTGCCTGACCTGCTGTGTTTCTCCAGCTCCATACGGTGTTGTCTCTGACTCCAGCATCTGCAGTTCTTGCTACCACCATATCCACAGATTTCTCTTTAACCACCTTGCTACTTCCTCAAGAAATCTAAAATTAGTTAAACACAATCTCCCTTTCACAAACCCATATTGACTCTGCCTGATCCCATCTTGATTTTCTGAATATCCTGTTATAGCTCCCTAAGAATGAAATCTAGCAATTTCACCATGATAGACTAGCATCTATCAGGTCTATAGTTTCCTGCTTTTATTCCCTCTCCTTGCTTGAATAAAAGATGTTACGTTTACTATCTTTGAATTATTTTATTTAATCACAGGATATTGATATTGGTGGCTAAGCCAGCATTTATTGTTTTAAGTTTTGACAAAGATTGTAGCTTGGGTTGTGGGTGAGGTTGTTGACTTGCTTGCTGAGCTGGCTTGTTCTCATTCAGACATTTCGTCGCCATGCTAGGTGACATCATCAGTGGAGCCTCCGACGAAGCAGTGTTATTCTACTCCGCTTGGAATTTATACTGTCCGGTCTGTCATGGCGAGTATGTCATTTCCAATTTTGATCTGTATGGGTTTGTATATGTGGTCCAATTCTATATGTTTGTTGATTGAAGTATGGGTGGAGAACCATGCCTGTAGGAATTCCCGTGCATGTCTATGTTTGGCTTGGGCTACTATGGTTACTTTGTCCCAGTTAAATTGATGGCCTTCATTGTCTGAATGTACCGATGTTAAGGAAAGTTCGTGTCGTTTTGCTGCTCACTGATGTTCATGTATTCTGATGGCTAGTTTCCTTCCAGTCTGTCCAATGTAATGTTTGTGGCAGTCGTTGCATGGTATTTTGTAAATCACGTTCATTCTGCATGTTGTGGGAATGGGGTCTCTAATCCTTAACATCGGCACATTCAGACAATGAAGACCATCAATTTAACTGGGACAAAGTAACCATAATAGCCCAAGCCAAACATAGACACGCATGGAATTCCTAGAGGTATGGTTCTCCATCCATACTTCAATCAACAAACACACAGAATTGGATCCCATAAACACATACAGATCAAAACCAGAAATGACAGTACTCACCATAATGGACTGGACAGTATAAATTCCAAGCGGAGTAGAATAACATCGCTTCATCAGAGGTTCCACTGATGAAGTCACCTAGCATGGTGACAAAACGTCTGAACAAAAACAAGCCAACTCGGCGAGCAAGTCAACAACCTCAGCATTTATTGTCCATTCCTAATTATCCGGAGGTAGTTAGAAGTCAACCATGTTGCTGTGTCCTGGGATCACATGTAGTCCAGACCAGGTAATGATTGCAGATTTCCTTCCCTAAAAAGGACACTAGTGAACCAGATGGGTTTTTATGACAATTGAAAGTAGTTACATGGTCACTGTGAGACTAGCTTTTTTTATTCCAGAATTTTATTGAATTTAAATTTCAAATGTGCCATAGTAGGAGTTGAACCCATGTCTCTACAGCATTAGCCTATCGTTCTGAATTACTAGTCCAGTGATTGCTATGTCAGGGTTATTCTTAAGAACACAGAGCGGAGGGCTCTATGGTTGGTCTTGCCATCGTAGTGGAAACCGCTTTGTCAGCAGTGAATACTGTAGGCTAGATTGAAAGAAGTACAAGATAATGTGTTTGAGGGTTTGGGACAGTGAGGAATGAGGCAGCAAAAGGGCTATACTATATCTTCTTTGATTTCAAACTAGCCACTGGAAAACCTAATCACAGAAACCAAAACAGAATTTTGGCATGTTCAGCTTGCTGTTTACTCCACAAGACCTCCATGTTGGATACAAGGCATTAACAAAATCACACTCTCCACAGGAACTGGTCACACACCCCTCGCATCCATGGACATTCGCATCTGATATGTGCTATACTCTAAGAACCCTCATGGTTCATCTCTGATTACATGACACTTCTGCACTTCAATGCTACATCTCAATATGCTACAGCAAGGGCACTTTGTGTTCATGGATTGGACCAAGCTATTTGCTGGGCTGTTTGCTCAATATTAAAGTACTCACTCACTGTGAGCCTACCTGGATCGTGCCTTGCATTGCCGATTTGTGCATTGTCCCCTTAGCCAAAGATACCTGGAATAGCAGAAATAGAATGAGTGTGAGGTATCTGAGATAAAATGGTGGCACTTAATGCTGGTGTTGTGGAGAAGGACACTGCCCTTTTTCATATAGTGTGGGGCATTCCTCCAGATGGTGAGACTTGACTGACCCAGTTGTCAATTTGGACCAAGCTGGCATGGTCTGTTTTCCTGGGGGAAAAGGAAGACCTACTTGTATACTATCCTGTCCAGCAGGGGCTCCAGGAACATGTCCACAAAGCAGGGCATTGATTTACCTCAGAGGCAAATGTCAGTAACTGTGCAGGCCAACTCCGGACTGACAGTGGCTGTCCATGTGCACAATGGCCTTTTAAATAAAGCAGTGGCGATGGGGATATTTATCAGTTCTGGGATCTCCAGCAAGTGGTGAGAGGAGGTAGAAATCAAATGTGATACTCAGCGTAAGAGCTGACATGTGAATTAATGCAGTGAGATTGATAAATACAGCAAGAATATTCTTTGGCCCTGTGGAGAAATCACTCCACCAAACTAGCTGGCAACTCATACTTAGCCAAAAAACCATCAAGTTTTAGCCCAAATGTAACAAAGTGAAAGATTACTCACTTTGATAGAAAAAGTCAAAGGTAGAATATTTCTTAAATGGTGAAAGGTTATTTGAAGTGTGAATGTCCAAATTGGTCTGGGTGTCCTTTATCCATAAGTGAATGAAAGCTAAGGAGCAGATGTGTTTGACTTTGAGTTTTTTGAAGAAGTAACAAAGAGGATTGATGAAGGCAGAGCAATGGACATGATCTATGTGGATTTCAGTGAGGCGTCCATCAAGGTTCTGTGTGGTAGACTAGTTAGCAAGGTTAGATCACATGGAATACAGGGAAAACTAGCTCTTTGGATATAGAACTGGCTTGAAGGTAGAAGACACAGGATGGCGGTGGAGGGTTGCTTTTCAGACTGGAGACCTGTGACCAGTGGTGTGAAACAAGGATCAGTGCTGGATCCACTGCTTTTTGTCATTATAAACATAAGAGGCATGGTTAGTATGTTTGCAGATGACACCAAAAGTGGACAGCGAAGAAGTTTACTTCAGAGTTCAACCTTGATCATTATGGAAAGGCAAATCAAGGCAGGACTTATACACTTAATGGGGAGCGTTGTTGAACAGAGACACCTTGGAGTGCCAGTTCACAGTTCCTTGAAAGTTGAGTGACAGGTTGACAGGATAGCAAAGGAGGCGTTCGGCATGCTTGACTTTATTGGTCAGTGCATCGAGTGTAGGAGTTGGGAGGTCATGTTGCGGCTGTACAGGACATTGGTTAGGCTACTTTTGGAATACTGCATTCAGTTCTGGTCTCCCTGCTGTAGGAAGGATGTTGTGAAACTTGGAAGGGTGCAGAAAAGATTTACAAGGATGTTGCCAGGGTTGGAGGGTTTGAGTTATTGGGAAAAACTGAATAGCTAAGGTCTTTTCCCCGGGGTGGGAAAGTTTAGATCTAGAGGGTTTAGGTTTAAAGTGAGAGGGGAAATATTTAAAAGGGACCTAAGGGGTAACTTTTTTTTTTGCACAGAGGTGGCACCTGTATGCAATGGGCTGCCAGAGGAAGTGGCTGAGGGTGGTACAATAACAACATTTAAAAGGCCGCTAGATGGGTATATGAATAGAAAGAGTTTAGAAGGATATGGGCCGAATGCTGGCAAATGGGACTAGATTAATTTAAGATATCTGGTTGGCATGGATGAGTTGGAGCGAAGGGTCTGTTTCCATGCTGTACAGATGTATGACTCCATGACTCTAATTACCAGGGGTCGCCGCAATACAAATATCCAGCTTACGAACACAATCCCATATGGGTATAAATTTTAAATATCTGACATGCAAATCTGACATTCTGGGGGAGGCAAATGGCCTTGTGGTATTATTGCTGGACTGTTAATCCAGAGTCGCAGATAATATTCCGGGGCTTTGGGTTTGAATTCCCCCATGGCAGATGATGGAATCTGAATTCAATAAATATCTGGAATTAAGAATCTAATGAAGACCGTGAATCCATTGTCAATCATCAGAAAAACCCATCTGGTTTACTAATGTCCTTTAGGGAAGGAAGCTACCATCCTTACCTGATCTGGCCTGCATGTGACTCCAGACTCTCAGCAATGTGGTTGACTCTGAACTGCCCTCTGGGCAATTAGAGATGGGCAATAACTGCTGCCTAGTCAGCGATTCCCTCATCCTATTAATGAATTAAGAAAAAGAATTGTTTTCAGCACTAATAAACAACTGTTTTATGTTGTCCTGCATTGTTTTCTGACATTGTGTTCCGACTTGCAAACAAAAATCAACTTGCGATGTGGATTGCCAATACCCTATTATTCTCTTCAATATGCCTCAGTGAATAGACTGTGTATTTGCTCCTCAATTGCCTGCTAACTGTTTGGGGGCCTATAATACACTGCTAACAGGGTGATTGCCCCTATTTTGTTCCTAAGCTGTACCCATGAAGCTTGACTTGATGGCCCTTACAAGATATCGTCCCTCCATATTGCAGTAGCTGACTCCTTAATTAATAAATTAACACTACCTTCTCTTTTACACCCACCTCTGTCTCACCTGAAGTTCCTACCCCAGAATGTTGAATTGGCAGTGTCACCCCTCCCTCAACCATGACTTTGTGATGGTAACAACATCGCAATTCCACATGCAATCCACACCTTTAACTCATTTGCTTTACTCCTAGCATTAAAATTGAGGGTCTCCAGCCTGGACTTACTCCCATGAGACACAGTGTGGTCACATATTGTGATGTGATGTGAACAATGCCTACATACCTTTTCGAAGTTATATTGTGTTCCCTACCCCTGACAACTAGTTTAAACTCCTCCCAGGACATTAGTCCCATTCTGGTTTAGCTGTAGGCCATCCCACTTGTAGAGGTCCCATCATCCCCTGAAACACAGTCAAGTGATGGAGACCACTTACTCATTGGAAGGGAATTATCTAATTGGGATTGAGAAGAAAAGGGAACTTGAAGTACAGATATGCGATTCATCAATAAACAAACAAAATAAACCAAACAGAATATCTGGTAATTTATCATATTTTCATTCACAAGACATTCTTGTACAAATGTAGTCTGCCATATTAGAACAGTGGCTATCTTGTGATAGAATTTTGGATGTTTTCTGAGACAATGTGCTAAAATAATATTATTTTTCTTTCTAGTTTTGGATCATTTATGATTGGACACAACAGCGAACACATTCACCACTTTCACATGAACACACCAAAGTATTTCCTCCAGCATGATAAAGAAGGAAAAATTAAAATGTGATTTTACTAATAGCAATATTCTAATGTTATACATAGTACATCTTATTTTAAACATGTATGGACTATTACTGCATACAAGATGTGATGTGACTTTATTAAGGATGGTATTGCGTGGTGGATAGAACATTAGAAAGGTGACCAAAAAAGACATCTATCACCAATTCTACGACATATTTTACAAAGTTGTGCAAAATGTCAGAAAACTGGGATATCTTTAAGGTCTATATTATTGATTCTTGACTAGTTTCCTTTCTTAATAGGACTTTCTTGTGATCACAGCAACTTACAAACTATTAAATTCCATTTAACTTCCAATTGTCTCTATTTTTATAACCTTCAAGTTTGATACCAATGAGATACTCAACCAACAAAATTTTTTTTAAACACATCAGTTACTGGTTTTTGGAACTTTATTCACTTTACTAAGGCAAAAGTTTGGTCTAATCTGATATCCATATTTCATCTAAAACAGACACTGTAATGCAAGGTGATTGTTCAGTTGATTTTGAATGTTGGCAGTGGTTGAAATTATTCCTTAAATATAATGTTGTAATGATCAATTACATCAAGAATGCTGGCTGCTGATCTCACCTTTACTCATGGTGGAAGTGAATACGTAAGTACCTGAGTAAAACCAGGATTTAGGCTTGGCTACAGAAGTATCATTATTCGTGTCAAGTCCTTTTGTGGTACAGTTCATTGAGCATTGGACAAGCTGGAATCCTGCAGTTCAATAAGCATGAGAGCAACTCTGAAAGGAAAAGACAATGATATAACTTAATTGATGTTTTGTTATCCCCAAGTTTTATGTTTTCCCTATTCTTGTCTTACACAAGTCACCATTTGCTAACTGATGTAATGAACAGACAACATGTTTCCAGGCAGCTGACAATGATTCAATGACTAGTTTAAAAAATTTAGGTTAGGAATAGTTTGGTGAAGAATGTGATACAAGATGGATTCAGAAATATGGAAGCAATTAGTTCATTGTAATGATAGCTGTTTGCTAGCATAGAACTTCAGTGCTGCTGAAAAGAAGACATGTTGAAGCTTTACATCTTGCTTTCATCAGGGCAGTTTGCAAAAAAAATAAAAAGTAACAAAACATTAAACAGCATTTTCCCCTTTGGATATCACGCTTGTTGCAAATACCCAATCTGTCTGTATTTGCAAAATGCATGTCAGTGTCCAACATTTTCTGTGAAACTGCAATTGGACATTTGCTAAATAATCCCAAGTGTGCAAAGAATTACCCAGATAACCAATTTAGGACTGTTGGTTAGGTTCACAATGTAGTACATATATGTAATGGAAGCTACATATAAAAACACAGAATCCTGTTCTTGAAGGCCAAAAGACCAGAAGACCAGGTATACACTGCTTGTTTCAACTCAACAAAATAGGTGATTGCACTGAGAAATGAACCAGAAAATGGCTGTGTTAATCAATTAGAATCAACCTGCCTGGTTGAAAATGTAAAGAGAGTATGGCAGCTAATGATCAGTCATCATCATACAGAATAAATGTTGTTTTTCCTTTACTCTATATTTCCCGCAAATTATCCTGATGAGTGCAAGATGAAATACTTTTTTTTTCAGGTAAATTTAATAATGTTTTAAAAGGACTGATGACCCGTCTTGCAAATAACATGAAACAACAATCCTACATAACTCTGATGGATTTACCTAGATTTTTATAGATGATACATTGCTTATGTTTTTGGTTTCCTTACTTCATTGAAGAACACTGAATACTGTACTTAGGGTGCACTTTTGTATGCTCCTGAAGATTGTGTGTTGTCCTCCTAGGAATATTTTTGGAAAATCCAAATGTAAAAGGATAGTGCGATTGATCAGCAAAATGATGATAAAGGGGGGTAATGCCTCAATGAGTTAATACCCAAATATGATGAACTTAAAGTTCTTTTTAAATAGTAAAGGGCTGTTAAAATATGAGATTGACTAATGTAAATTATACAATTATTTCTTCATGTACAACAGCAAAACAGATTGTGGGATAAGATTTCTGCATGTTATATGTAACACATCATAAACTAGCTGTTTTCAAACAGGCATCCAATTCTGTTTTAACTAAAAGTAAAACATTTGAGAAGACAATTGAATGGAAATTTAACATTCATCAACAGGGATATTTTTGATAGATAGAAAAATGAGCTCTAAACAGCAGTTTTACTTACACAAATATTGTATTCAAAGAATACAGAGTTCATTTCTTCAAAATTCATTTTGGAAAGGTTACAACAAAATTTACGTCAGAATGATGCTAGGGAGAGAGAGTGCAGTTGTTTCAGAAAAGGAAGCAAGCAATAAGTTGAAGGTAAATAATGAAAAATTAGTTGCATTAATCAGTAATTAGTAGGAATTTAAAGCCAGAGCTAGCAATAGAATTAAGTGAGAGATCAGGTGTTTATCACTTAAATAAGCTATCAGAAAATGGAAAGAGCTGTTGTACAGTAGTATTCTCTACATAATTTATGTAGAAGACCTGGGTTCAACTCTCATTTGTTCTAGAGGTGTGTCAAAACACATCTGAACAGATTTATTGAAAAATTAAGAATTGGAAAATGGGGTCCATGAATCTAAGTGACCACTGAACCAAATTTAGTTATGATGTTTAAGAGGCTATTAGGTAAATGAAGGCAAATATTAGAAGACAATGGGGGGGGGAAGCAGAGAACTGGTTTAATTTTAGTGGTCTTATTGGAGTACTAACATCAGCTGAAATGTGATGCTGAATAGTCTTTTGTACAGAAATTTTTCAAATATGTCTTTTGATAAAGTTATTTGAAGTTTATTATATTGACATCAATGTTTCATTGAAATGCATACATGTGTTTTACTTTTCCAAAATACACATCATTAATCTCAGGAAATAAAAAGAATAGGCTATTGTTGTCACTGGAAACAAAGCAGCATTATTTGCACAAAGACTAATCAGATAAGAGAACATCTAGCCGGCTACTTATATACAAACAGGAGTTAGGCCAATCAGCCTTTTATGACTTCCACATTCAACGAGATAATGGCAGATCTTACCATTTAAGGAATGTTCTGTACTTAGTTTACTTACACCAATGTGGATAACCTCAAATTTTTCCAATATATATCCAGATATTCCATCTGCCATGTTCTTACCTAATCACCAAGTCTGTCCACGTCCTCCCAAAACACTTGATATCATTATCACAGCACAGCTTTGTAGTTATTTTAATCAACCTGGTTGGATATGATATGACATACCTTCAAGGCAGGTGGGATTAGAACCAGGATCTCTGGCCTGAAGGCAACACAGACCCCTCCACTTAGCTTTGTATCATCTGCAAATATGTCATTTTGGACCCCACATCCAAATTGCCTATATACTGCAAACAGCTGGGGCCCAAATTCTGACCCATTGATATCCTTTTAGAAACAGCCTACCAACACGAGAATAATCTGTTAATTTCCAGTCTCTGTTTCCTGCCTGTTAGCTCAATCTTAATCTATGCCAATACATAACCTCCTATCTCGTGTGCTTTGATTTTGCTGAAGCTCCTGCAGGGGACACTATAAAACCTGAAAATTTAAGTATGTTACATCCATTCATTCCCCATAATCAATTTTGTGACTAACAGCCCCTTGACCTCCAAGTTGCAAATCCGTAATGATTGTGCCCTACATTTTTGTCCATGCATCTATTGATCACGTTCTTTATGATTCTCTTCCCCTGCTGCTAGTGAGAGCTATTAAGTCTGTAGTCCCCTGTTTTCTTTCTCACTTCCTTATTTATTAGTGGTACGACGTAACGTAGCTTCCAATCTTTAGGAATCACTCCATAGAACTTAGAAGCTGATGACCAACGATGCACTGTCCCGATAGCGAAAACAACAAATCCTGGAGATGACAGCGGGTCAGACAGCATCCATGGAGAAAGAGCCAGCTAAACATTTCGAGTCCAGATGAATCTTCATCACAGCTGAAGCTCGAAACGTTAGCTTGCTTTCTTTCCGTGGATGTCGTCTGACCCGCTGTGATCTCCAGCATTTGTTTTTTTTCTGTAGATTCCAGTATCTGCAGTAATTTGTTTCCTACATTATCTTAATAGCCACGTCTTTAAACTGTGTGGGATTTAAACTATCAGGTCCTGGAGACCAACTTTCAGCCCCACTTTTTCTCCAGTAGAACTTTTTTATTAATACTAATTTCCTGGATTCGATCTCTAATGATTTGGCTCTCTGGTTCTGGGGAATAGCTTGCACCATCCTCGGTGAAAACAAACACAAACTCATCTATCATTTCTCTTATTCCTCGTTATGACTTCTCGTGACTGCCAGTAAAGGACCTACATTCGCCTTAGTCAAACCTAGCCATTATAAAGTCTGATTGACAGAGGTATAATTTCTTTGTCTTTCTTCCTTCCTTACAGTGGGCACAATTCCTAACTGGGAGCGAGAAATCTTTAACGGGAGTGAGAGTTTGCAAATCGATTAAACTCGTTCAAGCGTGGCGAGAATCAAGATAAGTCATGTAAGAAAGCGGGGTGATTACTGGCGAACGGAACTTGGCAGATTATCGCTGAGTCAGTGTAAATCTAAATGCAGACTTATTGAATAAAAATGTAACCATAGCCACGACCTCAACGGCACAATCCAGATCAAGTGGTTCACCTCTCCCCTCCCCCAATAACCAGTACAACAGGCCGCGGACCGGTACTCTGATTGGTCCAGGGTCCCTCTGTTGCTAGGATGGGGACTCATTCCTATTATTTACTGCAACGACGAGGTGGCGACTTCATTAGAAAACAGTATAAGTTAGCCGGGGGAGGGGGGGTGGGGGATAAATAACGCCAGGACACCATTCAACATCCCTCATCATAGGAGTATGTGTTTCAATTTGCTTTAAACGTGTACATCGCAACGAATGGGTGATAAATAACCTGTACCAACAGCTACCGTTCTCCCCGAGGCTGAAGGCGGAGCCAAGCCGAGCCGAACCGAACCACACCACCGGTCCCACCCATCTGTGGCGGCCCCTGTGATTGACATTCCAGTAGCCAGAGGAACGCTGCCCTGAGAGTTACGCGAGGTGGGCGGGCTGGGGAGCCAATCGCAGAGGGGCGCAGGCGGGACTTCCGTTGTTACTGGCTGGCTTCACCGGCACGAGCGGGAGCGGTTGTCCGGCGCGTTCTAAACCATCCTCGCCCTGAAAATGCACGCGGATGCAGTCAGTAAGTATCGAGGATCCGCCGCTCTAACTACTGCTGTCCCCCACGGTGCATACATATTACACATGGCTATGCCGTTTCCACTGTCAGCATTACAGGGTTCATTTGTTTTTGTCTACATTTAGTGCTGGGTATTCTCTTTCACCTGTCTCTTTAATGGAGATGATTCGTGTGTCACAGAAGAGAGGTGACGCAGTTTCTTTCCAGAGTCTCATATCAATGCCCTGACTAACCTGATTGTATTCTTTTTCTCCTTGTTGTCCGATTCATGGTTGAAAGTGGATATTAGCAGAATGATATGGTGGTGGCATTGGGCAAGGAAGGAGATGAGTATTCTCTTTCTCTACTCCCTTCCCCCCCAGTGCAGAAGCCTTGTCAACTCTGCTGAGAAGCTGTCTGGAGTTGTATTTATTTCAGGATGTTGGGGAGGGGACGAGAATGTGGGACGTGTACGTCAACGCGCAGGCGCAACGTTCGTGACGTTTTCTGGGAATTGTAGTTCTATGACGACACATTCTATGATGACACACCTAGTGGCGTCACAAGGGAACTGCAATCCCCAGACTGCTTTATGCGGTGTAACCTAGGGAAGCGTTTACCTGGGGGCTCAGCTCCTTCGCCACTCTGGCAGACTGGTCTCAATGCAGTACTCTCTATCTAGGTTTTTTTTTCCATCTTTGGCCATCCGCAGTGTCCGTTATTAAAATAAATATATTTTTCTTTGCATATTAGTTCTACTTTAAATGGAGTTTACTTTTTTTTGAACGGGCATTATTTTAATTACATTGTCCACCTCGGCAAATTCACCCAGTTCTGTGGCAATGCAAGATATGGTGATGATTCTGCATTCTGGTCAGTTGATTTCTACTGTAGTTAACAAAATTTCTCCAGTTTTGGTTAATTGTAGAAACCTTAGGATGAGTATCATGTCTGTTGGACCCATTCTGATTGAAAATGCTTATAATTGCACAAACTGCTTGGAGTTGATCTAGATGGCTTAACCAGCTTTCACAACTAGGAGCTAATTCTGTTTTGCTACTTGTTAGAGTGCAATTGCATGTTTACCTGTACTAAGAATAGAAGGCAACTTTTTTTTGTTAAAACTGAAGGTATGACACCTGTGAATAAAGTCATGACATGATTTTGATTTATTGTCATGTCATGTCTATTTTCTTACAAAATATGGTAAAAATTGTTGTACAGTGTTGCCACTCTCCTGCGTCATCTTAAAACACAAATAAACCAAAATTAAAGAATTTAAAGGCAGAAAAATGAAGAAATAAAGAAAGTGTTCAACTTTACAGTCCTTGTTGAGTGCTCTGCCATGGGCCCGGTAGCTAGGCACAAATCCCCTTTGCTGCACAGTCACAGCTGGAATGAAAGTTGTCACTCTTTGGTGCCATCTTGCCTCCACTGGTGCCCTTGCTACTGAGTCTTTGATGGACCTTGCCAATGCAGGCATTACTGGTGCTGCAAGGTACCGCACCAGCCCAAACTTGACTGCGCCCCACATGTCTGCTTCAGGCCCACCTTGGTAATACAGCCGCTGCAGGTGCCACTAGGTTTCGTACTGGGCCCAAACTTGCTGCTGTCTCCGTGACTCTACGGAGCTTTGATTGGAATATTATTAACATCGCTGACTTCTCTTCAGTGGCCCAGTGTCATAGAACCCTCTGAATGAAGATGTATTAACTTCTGTCCTGATTTCTGGTTGTGGAAGTTTATTGTTTGTTGTACTAGACAAGTATTGTCTTTTGCATGTATTCAGTTTCAATCCCGATTTTGAAAGTTGAAATTTGGTCTGTTAAGTTGAGGATATAAACCAAAGTTGCATTTTGTTGTGCAATAGTTTTTATTTAAACTCGTGGAACAGGATGAAAAGAGGCCAACACTTAACAGTGTTCAATATAAGTTGTATTTGCACACTTCTGTTACATCCAAATGTAAGTGGATGCTTTTATATTTCAGTATAAGCAAAGTTTAGAACTAGAGTATAAAATGTACTGAAGCAATCACAGCTGGATTCTCAGGCTGTTGGAGTTCAAGAAGTTCTTACATCTAAGTGTGAAAATCTAACACTTGAGATAGAGGGATGTTCTGGTATATGCAGTACTGAATGTGAAAGAACTGGGAAGTACAGGATAGTTAGAGCTGAGAGTTTAGATAAGTGACCTCACAGCAAGTGGTACTAAGGTACTGTTCATCAATTACTTGCATTTTAATCGTACTTTTAATCTGCAAATAGTGATATAAGAATGGAAATTTAAATGTCAATACGCAGAACTTCAAATGATTTGTAAGAGGAAAATTCACTAGTTTTGATGTAAATTAGTGCTTAATAATTTGGTTTTAAATATCTCATCTATATAATAAACCATGGCATATTTGACTTGCTCTTAAAAATGACCAGTGTTTAAAAGTTTCCTTTTGAGGACAATGGTAATATAATGATATTGTTCATCATTTTTTAAAATTCTGGGTAAAATACTCCTGAATTAAATCATTTATTGTTTTACAGTTCATTTTTGAGATAATGATGAAATCAGTGAAATATAATGCAATAAACCGATTAAGAGATCTTAATGATTTCCTGAACTTGAGTAAAGCTTGAGCAGTGGTTAACTGAAGACTGAAAGCAGCCAAATTCACTGAAAGGTATTTGTTTTTGCACAGCAGTGAAGTTTGTGATTTATCATCCATATTGTTTGTCACTGCTTCCTCAGCAAGGTAACCACTTTTAAATAATGAAACTGTAGAAAAGTGCACCACTCTTTGTGGATTATTTGAACCTCTCTACAATCTATATTAACTACACTAGTATAGTAAATGGTCCTTTAGTTTGCAAAATTGTTTTTGAAGGTTTTGTACCTTCTCTGTCAAAACTGTTCCAATGGTCATATCAATACTGAATATAATAAAATGATATGTAGGGTTTTTGAAATTTGGTAGGTTGTTTCCTAGTTAATATTTGCTTTTCATATCTTTCTAGAAAACAAAATCCATTGGTGTTTTGTTATGGAAGCTGGTATTAATTATAATTGTGCATTAAGTTGAAAGTCTGACAAAATCCAGAGATTATTTTGTTTCTGTAGATTAATTGTTAGGATTGATTGCTGTAACAACTTTATTGTTGTATCATGCGACTACTGAGATGGTGGAAGGTAAACTAGAAGGATCTTGGCCTTTTTTACATGTACCAGTTCCTATGACCAACAATATGGCTGTTCCACTGAAACTCTGATTTCAGAGCACATTTTGCTGAAAATAACAGTCACTGTTTGGGTCATCCCAAAAGGTTTTGACGTAGTCTGATACTGTAAAGGTTTAGCCTGTTATATAGTTTTCTTGTTCTCCCTTCGGCAAGTTCTATGTTTGATGTCTTGCCCTATTACTTTTGGCCAAAAGGTTTTTTGTCTTTTTTTCCTTTATTCCTGCTTGATATGAAACCTACCCTGTTCTCGATTTCATTTTGTTGTGCATTGATGAACTTATTTCTTATTTCACATACTAAGTCCTCTTCTAGTTCTTTTAGTGTCTTGAGTATCACTGTATCTTAATTGGAATCTAAAATTTTTGCAATTGTTTAAAGATTCAAGACATGAAGTCTAACCACACACTGTAATTTGTTGATGGAGCTTTAGACTTTATTTAACTTTCATCTCATTGAGCCCATGAATTTTCCATTACCAACATTGTGTCTAAAGGATTTGAATTTTTATTTTTTGTGCCAGTGTTTTTGTTTAGCACGATAGTGTTAAAATCCAAGGTTTGAATGCCAGTAGGGGTATTAGTACTCTGAATAGAATAAGAGAATTGTTTTTCTTGTAAGAGAACTCTTTTGGTTTCCACCCTCTGAGTGTTTGATTTGCTATTCCTCCTGTCTTTGCTTATCAAGACTTTTTGAATTTCCTTTTCTTTCACATACTTTCTTAAACGATGGAATTTCAATTTGAGTTTTCTCTGTATTTCTGTCTTTGTCAATCTATTTTTAAAATGTGAGGAAAATTCTAATTTAGCTCATTTTTATTTTCAAATTTGGCCATTCTTAGTGAGACCTTGGACTTGTGCCTGGTTTCGCAACATGAAATTTTTTTTTGTGCTGAATTCATAATCTTCACCAAAAATAGTGATATGGGATGGAGCTGAAACTTCCCTAAATTGTCATTTTAAACTGGGTGTAAACAATTTTAAGGATGAGCAATTGTAGGATGAAGTTCATGAGGCATGGATGGAAATGGCCTTGGAAGTATTTAGTATGCAATGAAGTCAGCTTTAAAAAAGAATTAAAATAATAGCACCTTTTTTCCTGATGAAGGGTCTGGGCCCGAAACGTCAGCCTTTCTGCTCCTATGATGCTGCTTGGCCTGCTGTGTTCATCCAGCCCTGCACTTTGTTGTCTCGGATTCTCCAGCATCTGCAGTTCCTACTATCTCTAAAATAATAGCACCAACAGGTTGTGAACTTGTATTATATTGAAGCGAATTTATGAAATTGACGTGCTGACTTCTAAGATAAAGCTTAAGTATAGGTGGGATGAGGACCATTTCTTTTCATAATTGTAACTCCTGACACTAAAAGAAAGAAATCAGGAACAGTTGAGCACGTACAAGCCCACACAACGGCGACTGGTGCATGTACACCTGTTTCAGTCAGTGACAGGAGCATTGAAGTATTTTTAAGTATTCTAATACTAAATATCATAGAATTATATAAATGCCTCATTTAAGAGTCATCACTCTGTGTAGGAAGCTCCTACACAGCCCAGCTATCTCCGTTGTATTTAATGGGACCTGTAATCCAGGGTTGCAGTCTCGTGCTCCAGATTGACTGATCGAGTGAACAAAAACTTGGTTTCAAACAAATAATGTTGAAGCAGAGCATTAAAAACAGTTTCTAGAATTGGCAATAATCTTGTTCAAAATGGTTTGTCTGAGTTGTTGCACTTTTTTTCCATTAACTAGTTTTGTGGTGAAGGAGGCAGTTATAAAACTTGCTTCCACTAGTCCAGTTTAGTAGGAAATCCAAGACCAGCAAGACTTTTCCAGTCCCAATCCATCGCAGTCTGTTTTGTTCCAGTCCACGTGGTGTCCTTCACTTAAATGTACTCCTTAAATGCACTTCACTAGGTCTTCTTCAGCTACTGCCTTCTTTTTCTACCTGATAGTATATGTTCTGCCACTCTAGCATATGTCTGGAAGGCAGAATATGTTATAAGACAGCAACTTGCAAATTAAAATATTTAACTCCATGATAGAAAACAGGATTGTACATAAGCTGTTCTTACTTTATACTGACCTAGATAAACTGACACTGCATCTGTGTGCTAAGTGCTCCCCTGGTTTGTGGCAGAAGTAAAATGTGCCTTGTCTAGATGTCTTAAAAAATAGTCTGAAACCTAGGGTGACACTTCTGTTTAGTACTGAGGGAATGTTGCATTGACAGAGATGCTTTCTTTCATATGAGAAGTTTCTAACCAAGGCCTAATTTGCAATCTGGTTGACGTACAATATTTCATAGCACTATTTTGAAGTAGAGTGGGGAAATTCACCCTAATGTCTTTACCAACATTAGTTTTTCAACTTGCAGCATGGGGGCCGAGGAAAAAAGAACATCGACTGATTTTTATTGGATCGTCTTGTAAAAATTGGCTAGAGTTTTTATATTAAAATAGTAGCTATAGACATAAGACCACTTTTTCAGTTTTTTTTCAAAGAAGTTAAGCATTCACACGAAAACTTGCTCGCGAATTATCTTCTTAATGGAGTCAAACCATTCTAACTGGTTTTCTTATCAGTTGAAATTTATTAGGCAATGAGAAAGATCTGTATAATTTGTGCAATACATTCTTAATCTAATTCATTTGACAATCATTTGGACTATTATTCTATACTTGATTCAAAATAGCTTTCATATTTAAATTGCTTTACTGAAGCTAGTTAGATTGATTCTTCATTGAGTGTTGGTTTTGAATTAATAGGATTAGTAATAGGTTACAAATAAACAGATTTAAGTATTCAATCCTACAATATTTGTTAATGGCCAGAGTGCATTTAAGTGCAGCAACCTTTTAAATTAATTGGCACCTATGGGACCAGAAGTGTGCCGTTGATCAAAAGGTCCACGTAATCATTGTGAAAACACAAACTAAATAAGTGTAATGCAGGAGATATACACATCATTGTTATACTTGCATAAATCACTTAAATAATAATGCAGCTTTGCCTTAAACAAAACTTATTGTCAGAGAGCCTTCTCACTCGCAATCTCAACTGACTACTTGGATATTGCAGCGATCGTGATAATACAGTAAACCTTTGATATTTCGGGTATATAGCTTTAGCCTGTTTGTAGAGAGTGCTGGTTCATAAGGTGCCCGATTATAACATAGTTTGCTGTAGTATGTTTTACCTTTTATTAAAACCAAAGAATTAGAGGAAATTTTGCGTGGTTATCTTCTAATATTTTATTTATCTCTTATCTTCCAATGTTAACTCTCAACTTTTTCCCTTTCTCCTAGATTTTCCACTAACTTCTCACCTGTCTACACTGGCCAATATTCACAAGATTTACCACACCTTAAACAAACTGGTAACTTTAATTTTCTTAATACTCAGCAGTGCAGAGTAATTTGCTACAAACTATTTCTTCACTGGCTGGATAAGCACAAACTTCAAAAGGAATGGCTTAAATACAAAATGACAGCATCAAAGTTATCATATAATTTTCTGTGTCCTTGAAAGCTAATTTAACCTCTTGGGTTTTAGTCTACTGGTTTAAATATCAACAAATGATTTGGTTTGGAGTTCTTGGAAAGGTAGATAACTTTTGCAGTGAATAGTAAACTCAGGTAATAAACACAAGTGGGAAACAGATGCTCAAATAAAGCAGAACTTGGATAGACTGGCAAACCTGGCTGATAAGTAACCTGGCAGATGATTTTTAATGTGGAAAAGTGTTACAGTTGTGAAAGTGTAATAAATAGGAACTATGTAAGCTATTGGTATTATTCTACAGTCTGTGATAAGCAAGAGCTATCTTGGGACGTGGTGGACATATTACTGAAGGCATCAAGACAGTGAAGAGAGCAAAGAGGATCTTAGACTTTGTAGCCAGATAATTGAGCATTGGAATTCACTCCCCATTGACATTTTGGGTCTATTTACAGCATATGGACTGCAGCGGTTCAAGAAAGCAACACCGCCATTTTCTCAAGGGCACCTAGGGATGGGCAATAAATACTGGCCGAGACAGTAATGCCCATGACCCATGAATGAATTAAAAAAGAACAACTAGAATTGCTCCCCAAGACTCTTTGTACCAAATGCTTGTTTGAACCCGATTGGACTACTATGTGTTCCTCTCCCTTGATCCAGCTGAATTTTAGTGTTGGGAAACATGGTCTTTGGGGCTGGTGGAGAGGGCTAGGAAGCAAAGCTGACAGTAGGAGAGTGGGTGGCTGTAAATGAATGTGGAGCCTCTAAGTTAAGGTCACAAAAATTCGGGAACTTGACTTGTCCCTTTTATAGATGGTGCAGTACTAATCAGGGAGAATGTCACATCTGCACTCAGAACACGTACAGGAGGACTCATCTGCTGAGGCAATGAGTACAGCTCAAAAATAAGATGGGTGCAATCACTGAGATAGGGTTATTCTATAGGCGCCCCCCCAAAAAAAAATCGATCGAGACGTTGAGGAACAAATATGTAGGCAGATTATGGAAAGAGGCAATAACAACAGAGTTGTCATTGTGGGTCACTTTAACTTCCCCGGTATTGACTGGGACTCCCTTAGAGCAAGAGGCTTGGACAGGGTGGCGTTTAAGTGCATCCAAGAGGGTTCCTTGAAACAGTATGTGGATGGTCCAACTGGAGGAAAGGCCATATTAGACCATGTACTGGCTAATGAGCCTGGCCAAATGATTGACCTTTCAATGGGAGAGCATTTTGGAAACAGTGATCACAATTCCTTAAATTTCAAGATAGCTATGAATAAGGATAGGTTAGGACTTTGCAGGAAGGTACTAAATTGGGGGAAGGGCAAATTATGTCAGTATTAGGCAGGAGCTAGGGAGTGTTAATTGGGAGGAGCTGTTATTGGGCAAGTCCACACTTGATATGTGGGAATTGTTAAAGACCAGCTGATGAGAATTCAGTACAGGCATGTTCCTGTGATGAGGAAGGACCAGGATGGCAAGATAAGAGACCTTCGGATAATGAGGGAGGTGGTGAATTTAGTCAAAAGGGGAAAAAGAAACATATGTAAGGTTTAGGAAGCTAAAATCGGACAGGGCCTGTGAGGAATACTAAGAGGGCAGAAAAGAACTCGAGCAGGGAATTAGAACAAGGGGCTATGCAATGACCGTGGCAAGTAGGGTTAAAGAGAATCCCAAGGCATTCTATGCGTACATTTAAAAACAAGAGGATAACTAGGGAGAAGTTATCAAGGATAAAGGAGGGAATTTGTGCTACAAGACAGAGGGTGTGGGCGAGATCCTAAAATGAGTACTTTGCATCAGTATTCACCCGGTAGAAGGGTATGGAGGATGGTGAGATTTGTGTGGAGCACTCTAATGTGCTGGGGTGTTTTGAGATCAAGAAAGAAGTGGTCTTGCGTCTCTTGAAGAAAATTAAGGTGGATAAATCCCCAGGGCCTAATGGTATTTACCCCAGGTAATTGAGAGAGACAAAAGAGGTGATTGCTGGGGCTTTGACCAAGATCTTTGTATCATCATCAGCCACTGGAGAGGTCCCGGAGGACTGGTGCGTAGCTAATCTTGTTCCTTTATTCAAGAAAGGAAATAGGGATAATCCAGGAAACGATAGATCCGTGATCTCACATCAGTAGTTGGGAAGCTGTTGGAGAAAATTCTTCGGGATAGGATTTACATGCCTTTGGAAAAGCATGGCCCAATTAGGGACAGTCAGCATGGCTTTGTGTAGGCCAGGCCATGTCTTACTAACTTGATTGAATTTTCTGAGGAGGTGACAAAGGTGATCGATGTGGGTAGAGCGGTGCGTGTTGTCTACATGGATTTTAGTAAAGCTTTTGAAAAGGTCCCTCATGATAGGCTCACCAGAAGATTAACATGTGTGGGGTCCATGGTGACTTTGCGTGGATTCAGAATTGGCTTGCCCTTAGACCGAGAGTAGAGGTCGAAGGGTGTTTTTCAGGCTGGAGGTCTGTGAATAGTTCCGCAGGGATCCGCTGGTACCTCTGCTGTTTGATATATTGACTTGGATGAAAATGTAGTTGGTTGTGTTAGTAAGTTTGCAGACAATGCAAACATCAGTGGAGTTGTGGATAGTGTAGGAGGTTGTCAGAGGATACATTGAGATATAGATCAGTTGTAGATATGGGCAGAGAAATGGCAGACTGAGTTTAATCTAGGCAAGTGTGAGGTGCTGCACTTTGGGAGATCAACTGTTAAGGAAAAGTATACAGTTAATGGCAGGACCCTGAACAACATTGATGTATAGAGGGGTCTTGGAGTTCAAGTCTATAGCTTCCTGAAAGTGGCTACACAAGTATGTAGGGTGGTTTAGAAGGCGTATGGCATGCTTGCCTTTATTGGTTGGAGAACTGAGTACAAGAGTCAGGATGTCATGTTGCAGTTTTATAAGACTTTGGTTAAGCCACACTGAGTGTTATGTTCAATTCTGTTCACCATGTTACAGGAAGGATGTGGAGACTTTGGAGAGGGTGCGGGGGTTTATTAGGATGCTGCCTGGTTAAGAGGGTATGAGCTGTAAGAAGATGCTAGAAAAACTCAGGTTGTTTTCTGTGGAGTGGTGGTTGCTGAGGGGAGACTTGATAGAAGTCTTATAAAATTGAGATGCATGGATGGGGTTGACGGTCAGAATCTTTTTCCCGTTACTTTGATAATGATTTGAGATTAAAATAGGTTAGGAACTGATCAGATCAGATTTCCCCTGCTTTTTATGGGTGCTGCTTATACCTCCTTCAATAATTTTCCACATTTTTGGGTAAATGCTAGTGGTAAGGCCAGTTCTGGAGTCCCCGGTACTATAGCCTGGATACTATGAGGGTTTTTGGGCTTTGTGGTATCCAGTGATTCAAATTGGTTAAAAGCTGATATCTATGATGGGAACTTTGGGAAGTGATGGATTTCCCCTCTTTAGTTCTGGCTGAAATTGGTTGCACATATTTTCAGCTCTTTTTGCAGTGATTTGCTATAGCCGAGTGGCGGCTTAAACCATCTGAGGGCAATAAAGAGGACCACATGGCTGTTCGTTAGGAATCACATCTCAGTCAGACCAGTAAAGATGACAAATTTCTGCCCAGAAGGACATTAATGAGCCACATGGCACTTTGATTTTATGTTATATTTTATTGATTTGAGATTTCACTTGAACAGATCGTGAACTTACTAAAACAGAGTTTGTGGTTGAGGTAGCGATGTAAAATAATTTTTAGTCAACATGGTGGGACGTCTCTGGAGCAAGTGGGACTTGAAGCCAGAAGTTGTGACCCAGACGTGCATTACCACTATACTACAAGGCCTGAGTTAGAGCTTTACTACTGCCATGTTTCACTCTGTTAGCCTAAGTAAAGATTGGTTCCAATGCCACTATATAGGGAAAAAAAGTACAGCACAGGAACAAGTTCTTCAGCCCACCAAGACTGTGCTGCCTCTATGCTGTTGTATTCCTGTATTTCCTACCTATTCATATATTCATTAAGATGTCTCTCAAATATTGCTATTGTATCTGTGTTTTTTTTTTCTCCTCCTCCTCCACCTTGGCTAAACCCGAAACACTACACGTGTAGTGTCTCCCACCCATCCTCCTCCTCTAACCAAAAAACAGACTCTGTGGAGGGTCAGTAAGGTAAGGCCTTTTTTTTATTCTTCTGGAAATCTAGAGTAGAGGGAATGGAAGCTAGGGCAGTTGCATGCTCCTCTTGCAGGATGTGGGAGGTCAGGGTCACTGTTGGTGTCCCCTCTGACTTCACCTGCAAGAAGTGCACCCAACTCCAGCTCCTCTCAAATCGCGTTAGGGAGCTGGAGCTGGATGAACTCCGGATCATTCAAGAGGCTGAGGGGGTGATAGAGAGGAGTTATAAGGAGGTGGTCACACCCAAGATACAGGAAGAAGGTAATTGGGTGACTGTCAGGAGGGGGAAAGGGAATTGGCAGACAGTGCAGGGATCCCCTGTGGCCATTCCCCTCAATAATAAGTATACTGTTTTGGATACTGTTGGCGGGGGGGAACCTACCAGGGGAAGGCTATAGCGGACAGGTCTTTGTTACTAAGCCTGGCCCTGTGGCACAGAAGGGAAGGGGGGAGAATAGGAGAGCAATTGTAGTGGGGGATTCAACAGTAAGAGGCACAGACAGGCGGTTCTGTGGACACGAATGAGACGAACGGATGGTGTGTTGCCTCCTGGGTGCCAGGGTCCATGTCATCTCGGATCATGTCTTCAAGATCCTTAAGGGGGAGGGTGAGCAACCAGTAGTCATGGTACACATCGGTATCAATGACATAGGTGGAAAAAGGACTGAGAATGTGAAAAACGAGTACGGGGATTTAGGTTGGAAGCTGAAGTCCAGGACAAACGGGGTAGTTATCTCTGGATTACTACCAGTGCCATCTGATAACGAGGTGAGAAATAGGGAGAGAGTGCAGCTAAACACGTGGCTACAGGGCTGGTGTAGGAGGGAGGGCTTCCATTATGTCGATAATTGGAGCATATTTTGGGGAAGGTGGGACCTGTACACTAAGGACAGGCTGCACCTGAACCAGAAGGGCTCATATATCCTGGGAGGGAGGTTTGCTCGAACTATAGGGGATGGTTTGAACTAGATTGGCAGGCGTTGGGGAACCGGATTTGTAATTCAGAGGATGACGTATTCGGCCTTCCAACAGACACAACAGGGAGTGAGGTTGTTAATAAAGAAATGCGGTCGATGGAGCATAATTGTGGACACAGGAATGGTTTGAAGTGTGTATACTTCAATGCTAGAAGTATCAGAAATAAGGTGGATAAACTTAGAGCATGGGTCAGTACTTGGAACTACGATGTTGTGGCCATTACAGAAACTTAGGTAACTAAGGGACAGGAGTGGTTGTTGCAAGTTCCAAGATTTAGATGCTTTAAAAGAAATAAGGAAGGTGGTAAAAGAGGCGGGGGAGTGGCATGGCTGGTCAGGACTAGTATAGCAGCTACTGAAAGGCAGTTTGAGAATGATATATCTACAGAGTCAGTTTGGGTTGAGGGCAGGAACACGGAAGGAGCAGTCACTTTGTTGGGAGTTTTTTATCGACCCCCTAATAGTTGCAGAGAAGTAGAGGAGCAGATTGAGAGGCAGATACTGGAAAGGTGCAGAAGTCGCAGGGTTGGAGTCATGGGTGACTTCAACATTCCAAATAACTTTGGAAACTTTTTAGTTGTAATAGTTTAGATGGAGCAGATTTTGTCCAGTGCATTCAGGAAGGATTCCTGACACAGTATGTAGATAGACCAACATGAAGAGAGGCCACTTTGGATTTGGTGCTTGGCAATGAACCGGGCCAAGTGTTAGACCTGTTGGTAGGAGAACATTTTGGCGGTGGCGGTAGTGGTAGCGGTCATAACTCTGTTACTTTTACAATAGTCATGGAAAAGGATAGGTACATACAGCAGGGTAAGGTTTATAATTGGGGGAAGGGTAATTATAATTCTGTTAGGCAAGAACTGGGTAACATAAAATGGGAACAGATGCTGTCAGGGAAGAGCACTGTAGAAATGTGGAGATTTTTTAAGGAATGCATACTGCGTGTGCTTGATATGTTTGTCCCCAGCAGGCAGGGGAGATGCGGTCGAGTGAGGGAGCCTTGGTTCTCAAGAGAGGTCGAACGACTAGTTAAGAGGAAGAAGGATGTTTACATATGGTTTAGAAAACAAGGATTGGAAAAGGCTCTAGAGGGATACTAGCCAGGAAGAAGCTGAAGAAAGGGTTTAGGAGAGCTATAAGGGGGCATGAGAAAACCTTGGCATATAGGATCAACGAAAACTCCAAGGCTTTTTACACGAACGTGAGGAATAAGAGACTGACCAGAGAAAGGGTAGGGCCAATCAAGGATTGTAAAGGGAATTTGTGCACGGAGCCTAAAGAGGTAGGGGAGGTCCTTAATGAATACTTTTCTTCGGTATTCACAACTGAGAGGGACCTAGCTGTAGGGGAGTACAGTGTGAAACAGGCTGGTAGGCTAGAGGAGGTGGATGTTAGTTAGATGTACTAGGAATTTTGAGGAACTTGAAGATAGATAAATCCCCCAGGCTTGATGGGATTTATCCAAGGATTCTATGGGAAGCGAGGGAAGAGATTGCAGGGCCTTTGGCAATGATCTTTTCGTCCTCACTGTCCACGGGTGTAGTGCCGGAAGATGGGAGAGAGGCAAATGTCATTCCCTTGTTCAAAAAAGGGAATAGGGATAACCCTGGAAATTACAAGCCAGTTAGTCTTGCGTCAGTGGTGGGCAAATTATTGGAAAGGGCTCAGAGAGAGGATTTATGATCACTTGGATAGGCACAGTTTGATTCGTGATGGTCAGCATGGATTTGTGAGGGGTAGATCATGTCTCTCAAACCTTTATTGAATTCTTTGAAGAGGTGACCAAACATGTGGATGAAGGTAGAGCAGTCGATGTGGTATACATGGATTTAAGTAAGGTGTTTGATAAGGTTCCCCATGGTAGGCTCATGCAGAAAGTAAGGAGGCATGGGTGAGGGGGAAATGTGGCAGTTTGGATTCAGAATTGGCTGACCTTTAGAAGATCAAGGATGGTAGTGGATGGAAAATATTCAACATGGTGCTCAGTTATGAGTGGCGTACCACAAGATCTGTTCTGGGTCCTCTTCTATTTGTGATTTTTGTAAATGATTTGAATGTAGGAGTGGAAGGGTGGATTAGTAAGTTCATGGACAATACGAAGGTGGGTCGAGTTGTGGATAGTGTGGAGGGCTGTTCTAGATTACAAAGGGATATTGATAAGATGCAGAGCTGGGCTGAGAAGTGGCAGATGGAGTTTAACCCTGAAAAGTGAGAGGTGATTCATTTTGGAAGGACAAACTTGAAAGCAGAATACAAGGTTAACGGAAAGATTCTTGGCAATGTGGAGGAGCAGAGGGATCTCGGGGTTCATGTCCACAGTTCCCTGAAAGCTGCTACCCAGGTGGATAGAGTTGTTAAGAAGGCGTACGGTGTGTCAGCTTTCATTAATAGAGGGATTGAGTTCAAGAGCTGTGAAGTTATGCTTCAGCTATACAAAAGGTTGGTTCGGCCACGTCTGGAGTGTTGTGTCCAGTTCTGGTCACCTCATTACAGGAAAGATGTGGAAACGTTGGAAAAGGTGCAGAAGAGATTTACCAGGATGTTGCCTAGAATGGAGGGTAGGTCTTGCGAGGAAAGGTTGAGAGAGCTAGGGCTTTTCTCTTTAGAACGACGAGGGATAAGAGGTTACTTGATAGATTTGTACAAAATGATCAGAGGTATAGATAGAGTAGACAGCCAGAGACTTTTTCCTCGGGTGGAGGTAGCTATTACAAGGGCGCATAGTTTTAAAGTGAGTGGAGGTAGATATAGGGGAGACGTCAGAGGTAGGCTCTTAACTCAGAGAGTGGTAGGGGCGTGGAATACATTGCCGGAGATGGTAGTGGAGTCGGTCTCATTAGGGGCATTTAAGTGGCAATTAGATAGGCATATGGATGACAGTATAAGGTAGGGGTGGAGGGTAGATAGACCTTAGGATTAGGGTAAAAGTTCGGCACAACATCGTGACTGGAACTGTACACAATATTTCAAATGTGGTCTCGCTAAGGTTCCATACAGCTGCAATTTGATTTGCCAATTTTTATACTGAATGCACTGACCGATAGAGACAGGAATGCCATATATAGATAACACACTATGGAGCTGGAGAAGCACAGCAGGCCAGGCAGCATCAGAGGAGTAGGAAAGTTGACGTTTGGGTCCGGACCCTTCTTCAGAAATGGGGAGGGGGAAGGGAGCTCAGAAATAAATCGAGAGGGGAGGGGTGGGGCTGGGGAAGGTAGGTGGGATGATGATAGGTGAGTGCAGGTAGGCAGTAGTGGGCATTGAGGTGGGAGAGAAGATGGACAGGTTGTGTCAGGTCAAGGAGGTGGGGATGAGAGGGAGGGTTGGTCATGGCATGAAGCCAGGGGTGGGGAGATTTTAGAACTGGTGAATTCCACGTTTCGGCCATTGGTTTGTAGGCTCCCAAGGTGGAATATGAGATACAGCTCCTCCAGTTTGCGGGTGGTGTCATTGTGACGCTGGAGGAGGCCCAGGATGGACATGTCACCCAGGGAGTGGGAGCGGGGAGTTAAAATGGTTTGTGACTGGAAGGTGTTGTCATTTATTGCATACAGAGCGCGGATGCTCTACAAAATACTCTGAGTTTACGCCTGATCTCACTGATGTAGAGGATGTCACGTTGGGAGCAGCGGATTCAGTAGACCAATTTGATGAATGTGCAGGTGAATCCCTGTCTAATGTGGAAGGTTTGTCTTGTACCTTGAAAGGAAGCGTAGGGGCAGGTGTAGCACTTCCTGTGGTTGCAGGGAAAGGTGCCAGGGGTGGTGGGGTTAGTGGGAAGTGTGGAGCGGACAAGGGAGTTGCAGAGGGCACGGTCCCTACAAAAGGCAGATGGGGTTGGGAGGAAATATCTCTGGTTGTGGGGTCGGATTGTAGGAAGTGGCGGAGAATGATACGTTGGATATGGAGGTTGGTGGGGTGATACGTGAGGACAAGGGGATTCTGTCTTTATTTTTCGGGGGAGGGGATGTGAGCATAGAAGTGTGGGAAATGCAAGAGATGCAGTTGAGAGCATTTTCGATCACGGGTGGGGGGTGGGAGAATTTACAGTCCTTGAAATAGGAGAACGTCTGGGATGTGCTCCCATCTTGGCAGCAGACGCGGCAGAGGAATTGAGTGTAGGGAATCGCATTCTTGTAGGAAGGTGGGTGAGAGGAGGTATAGTGCAGGTAGCTGTGGGAGTTGGTGGGCTTGAAATAGATGTCAGTTTCAAAGTGGTCACCAGAGATGGAGACAGAAAGGTCCAGGGAGAAGTGGGAGGTATCGGAGAAGTCCAGATGAATTTGAGGTTGGGGTGAAAGGTGTTAGTAAAGTTGATGAACTGTTCAAGCTCCTCGTGGAAGCATGAAGTAGTGCTGATGCAGTCATCGATGTAGCGGAGGAAAAGGTAGGAGATAATGCCTTTGTTACAGCGGAAGATGGATTGTTCCACGTATCCTATGAAGAGGGAGGCATAGCTTGGGCCCACGCAGGTACCCATGGCCGCCCCTTTAGTCTGTAGGAAGTGGGAGGCGTTAAAGGAGAAGTTGTTAAGGATAAGGATGAGGGTGTCGGTGGAGGGGGATTGCTTGGGCCTGCCATATGCCTTTTTAACT